TGTGCTGTACACTTTGCCCCAGGATTTGATCTTGATCATACCTTAATTTTCTCTTCTTAAAACTTCCCATGACTGGGGCTGGGAAATGGCTCAGTGGTAGAGCGCTTGCCTTGCAGGCCTGAGGCCCTGGGTTCGATTCCTCAGCACCACATAAGCAAAAAGAAAAAAGCCAGAAGTGGCGCTGTGGCTCAAGTGGTAGAGCGCTAGCCTTGAGCTGAAGAGCTGAGGGACAGCGCCCAGGCCCAGAGTTCAGGCTCCACAACCGGACCCAAACCCCCCCCCCAAAAAAAACAATTCCCATGACTTCTACTGCATTCAACATTTATAATATAATGCAACTTTTGTATGAGGCTACAAAACCTTAACCACTTTCTTTCACTAGAATGTAAGCTGTTTTTCTACTTGAGAAAATAGAAAAACAGCTAAGCACCAGCGGCTCACGCTTGTAATCCCAGCTACTCAGGAGGCTGAGATCTGAGGATTGTGGTTTGAAGCCAGCCTGGGCAGAAAAGTCTGAGACTCATTTCCAATAAACTACTCAAAGCTAGAAGTGGCACTGTGGCTCAAGTGGTAGAGTGCTAGCCTTGAGCACAAAGAGGCTCAGGGACAGAGCCTAGGCTGAGTTCAAGCCCCAGAACCAGCAAAAAAAATAAAAATAGAAAAAACTTGCTTTTTTAAAAAAAAATCAGGGGCTGGGAAGGTGGCTCAGTGGCAGAGTGCTTGCCTTGCATGCATGAGGCCCTGGGTTCGATTCCTCAGCACCACATAAGCAAAAAGAAAACAGCCAGTAGTGCTGTGGCTCAAGTGGTAGAATGCTAGCCTTGAGCTGAAGAGCTGAGGGACAGCACCCAGGCCCAGAGTTCAGGCCCCACGATCGGACCCCAAAAAATAAAAAAATAAATATAGTCCCAAGATCTATAATAATGCCTACTATGTAAGTTACAAAAGAAAAAATTTGAATTATCTAAACCTATCACATACAACAAAGTAGATAATTAGGAATAATTACTCTTCAAATCATGTACAGTGCAAAAAATATTCAAATTTACCTATGCAGGTTTAGTATACTTCATCTGAAATATGGGACAAGAAGTCATCAGATCTTAGTTATGGGCCTTTAGAATATTTGCATAGACTACTGTAGTTGATCATCCCTAATCTGAAAAACCAAAGATTCTCCAAAATCTGAAATCTGTTGATGCTCCAGAAGTTTTGGATTTTGGAACATTTCAGAATTCCAATTAAGATGCTCAACTGTAATTCCTTTCTTTCTCAGTCCTATTAGTAACCTAGCTACCAAGTTGTAGATATAGATCATAGTCCACTTAGGAAACAACTTTCATATTACACATATACACCCAATTCCTCAATTGCTTTCAGTTTTAATAGAAGATAAACTATAGTCACACTACTTTAATATTAACATTTGTAAGCAGTTTATCACTGTGTATGCCTTCTTGGCCAAATCATAAAAACTTTTCTGATATTCCTTTAGTATTTCATAAACTCAGCCATGGCCCTTTCACAAGTTATGAGACAACTAAATACTGAGTGCCTTGAAGAAATAATTACATGACTACAAAACGCTTCCTTAGTGGTTTTAAGTGATAAATTCTATGGCATTTGCAGTTTTCTTCTGCCTATCTGCCTCAACAGATTTGAGCTTATCTTCTAAGCTCCTTCTGACTATTCCTATTCTGTTATCTAGAATTGTTTTTTACCACAATCTCCTCTTACAGGTTGCAAAGATAACAGAACTCCATGCTTGCACTTCAGCATTCTACTTTCTACAGGCCAGTGTTATTCAATGGGGTCTACTGACAACAGAATACAATGTCTGGGATGAAGAAAAGAGCCTGTTTTCCCAAGTATTGCAAATTTTGATACACTATAGTTTGAAATCTACTGCCCATTTTCTCAAGTTTGCAGCAATAATCTATCCCTAGTCTTCAAAAAAACAGGCCACCAACCATAAAAGGCACAACAGTATAGTAACCAAGAGAATCTTAGCTTAGACAATAGCCTGGTTAGAACCCCAGTTCTACCACTTACTAGCTATCAGATTGTGGTATATGGTGAGACTTAAATGAGACAATTATGTATAGTACTTTGCAGAATGCTTATCTTGAAGGGGCTATTCAATAAACGAATGCTACTAATACACAACTGCTCATTGCCATTCTTACAATACTCCAACTGGCTTCAAGATTCCCTGTATTGTTGACCCAACCACTTTAGTTTTCTAGACTTCAGTCTGCATCGTATCTTTTCTATTGACAAGCAAGTTGTTATAGTCTTATTCATGCTCATCTGTCTTACCTGTCTATTCCAACCTTCCTCCACCACTTTATATCCTCTAACAAACTCTTGCAAAGCCTTTTTGACCATCTGAAGATTGAAGCAACCTGTTCATCCATACAGCCCTATCACCTTCAAAAATCCTTTTCATCCATCTGTGACCTCCTTCCTATAACTGTCTGAAATCATTAAAACTTCCAATTACCAGTTTATATCTAGTTTCCTTAATTAGATTTATGATGCTAAAGAAGTAGACTATGAAATGCTTTCCCCTATTTCCTATTCCCAGCACCTTAGTTCCTAATATCTAGCTAATATTCAAGAGATAGCAGAGAAACCTTAACTAGAAACTGAAGAAACACTGGAGTTGAAACATGCTCTCTAACGTTACCTCAAGCTAACAACCTCTCTTGGCTAAGGTCAAGCTCATCTAAGTTTTGAAGAATATTTATTATTCAATAAATTCTGCCAAGAATCTGAAACTAGCTGGATGCCAGTAGCTCACACTTGTAATCCTGGCTACTCAAGGAGGTTGAGATTTGAGGATCATGGTTCAAAGCCAGCCCAGGCAGAAAGTCCATAGGACTCCTATCTCCAATTAACTACCAAAAAAGCTGAAAGTAGAGTTGTGGCTCATATGGTGGAGCACTAGTCTTGAGCACAAAAGCTCAAACCCCAGGACCAGCGCGCACACGCGCGCGCACACACGCACACACACACACTCACCTTAATCCTTCTGTGTATTTAGGAATAAATATTTTCTAACCTTATATTGTGTGCCTTCCCATTTCTACATGGTTTTTGTACAAATAAAATATTGTTTGCAACACTATTTTCTCATTCTTGTGAGAAAAGCCTGAGACTCCAAAGATACTAAACATGTAGAAATACATAAGAAACATAATACAATCTTCCTAAATCTCCACAGTGACTTAAGATATTTGCTAATTGAAAAACTAATGAGCTTACAATGTGGGCTAACAAGAGAAATAAAACACACGGAACACTGACATTTCCAAAAGGTATAAAATGATTTAGCAAAATCAAAGACAGATCATTTAAACAATGCTTTAGATGGCAATCACCTCATGAGCAGACTTGGTTTGAAAAATACTTGCAAATGACACAACTTGAAAAAGCCCAGTCCTTTTTACTATATCAAAGTATGATACTTAAGCCATCCAATCATAGGGGTTCAAGCAAACTGAAGAAAAAAGTAGCCAGTACAGGACAGCTACTGTAATTATCTTACTCTGTAAGCCTTCTGGAAGGGATGAGAAAGAAATATTCTATTTGAAATGTTTGATCCCATTTAAAACAAAGCAGGAAAATCCAACTTGCAACAAAAGTTATGCTTGTGACAAACTGCCAAAGCCTCAATTTAAAAAAAAAAAAAAACACCAAATCTTTTATTATTGTAGGGGTATCAGAAGGCTTGTAGGACATACTAGGCAACGAAAATGCTTAAAACACAGCAAAGTTAGGACCTTTTTCAACACTGCCTATTTAGTTGCTTAATTTTATCATCACTCTCTTTGAGGACAAAGAAAAATAACCATTTTGGCTAAAAATGTCTATCGTTTTCCAGGAAGAAAAAAGATGGCATGCTTTCTTTCACTGTTGTTAAATACTACATTCCCCTTAACTTCTAAGTTTAAAAATCAGTTTGTAAATGAGCAATGTTTTTATAGCAGTTAAGTTCTCCGGCACCATTAAATCACAGCAAAAGTATAGGCCAAAGTTAATGAGAAATGTCAAAGGACAGCAAGGCCACAGCCCCTAAATCAATACCCAAAAGTTTTAAACTTTGGCTCCCTTATTAAAAGAATTATTTTAAATGATAAATTTTTTCAAGTCAGGTAGAACAAAAAGTTCTGGCCTGTAATTTTGTATATATACCTCAGAGAAGGAAGGAGGATAGTAATGGCAGCAGAGTACCTAGACTTTCAAGTAGAATCATATACCCAAAACATTAAAGCCCTCACCCTATTAATTACAACGCATTTTGACCTCTAAAAGCCCTCTTACCTGTTTACAAGAGTTTATACAGCAGATTGCCACTGGAACACCACCTTGCAGAATATAACCGTGGCATCCTTGGTTGATAATCACCTGTTGCCTAGCAATCATCATCCCGCATGGAGACAGACAGCACTAGGGCTCTTCCATCCGAGGTTAAAATTCAAAACAAGCCCAACAAGCCTGCATTTCAAGATGGTCTTCGTCTGCAACTAAAGTTTAAAACTGGCAAATAACCACCATGGTGTCTGAAGCCAAAGGTGCAGCATTGCTGGCTTCCTCTTGAACTCCAGCGTTGTCACTGTGAACTGAAGTCTCCTGCTGCAAACAGGGGAGTAGTTCTCCTGTACTGGGAACAGGCTTCCAAAGCTCAAGAGCCCCTGTACAGGATAATGCAGGAACTAAAGGCAAACACTTTCTCCTCCTTAAGGATGCCTCCATTTTTTTCCTCACAATCTGTACTACCAACCGAAGGGCCTGAGTGTGCGTTCGTACCTATGAAACCGTCACGGTGCATGCACATCCAAGGCATGTGGAACCACAGGTCAAATAAGGCACAGATACCAAGTAATGGTTCTAATTACAAATGCTAGCTCTCAGGAACTCTTCATCCATTCAGAACTAAACCCATCACTGCATAACTCTGGTAAGAAGCCCCTGGAGATGGAGGAGCTCCTCAAATGTGTCAGGAAAGGCTTTATTAACATCATCATTAACATTTAAAAAGCAAACGGAGCATTTCTCCTTCTTTTGGCAATTTGGTGCAAATGTTAAAAGTGCAAGATAAAGCAATTTCAAACTTTTCTTCAAATTAAAAATGAAACTAAAGCCAAACGTGATGAGTGAACAAAATAAATCAAAACTTAAAATTTCAGCAACTCCAGCTCTTCAAACCAGCAAAGCCCCCGACTCGTGCACTGTGGTGAGGCTTAGGGTGCTTGCCCCGGCTTCTTGTGTGCCAGCAAACAGCACCATTCCCTCATCACGTTGAGGACCGAGAAGCAAAGGATCCCCTTCGCTGCAAACAAAGGGGGGTCACAGTAACACTAGCGATCCTTCAGAATTGACACACCGTGATAGTCAAAATGAAATTGATGGTCTCCCTGCTTCTTGCTCAAGACATACAAGATCTGAGCAGCAGCAAGTACCCCCTCGGCTGCAAACAAAGGGGTCAAGGTTTGCCGTCAATTCACTTCCAGGCAGAAAAACATTTTCCTCAAAAGAAACAATTTATTTAGAATAAAACAAAAGCAGCTCAACTGTGAGCGCATGTTTGAGTGACAGCTACTTTTAAGCTGTGTGAGCCATAAAAAGGGTTTTTCTTTTCCAGAAATCTTGTGTACACAGCACAAAGCAAAGAGGTCATTTTTTTCCACTTAAAACACCGGCATTGGCATCACAAATAGCAGATACACAACGTTAAGCTGCCATTTTAGTAAAATGCACAAAATACTAAACAGATTAGCTTTCTTCCATCAGAGGCCCATGTAAACTCCACATAAGCCACAACTTCTCTTCAAAAAGGTCCATTAGAGCTTTGAATTCCGTATCTTCATCCGATGTTCACCAGTTTTGCTTTCAGGGGGGAAAAAAAGGTTATTCAGTACAAACGTTTACAATATTAAAAAATATATGTATTTCCCCTACGCCATTATAGATGAACATAGTAACAAAACCTTTCTGGATAGTCCACCTCGACCTCAAAAAGCACCAATAATACCCACTGGCACAAACCTTGAAATGAATTTACTATATGAACAGACAACAAGTAGACCAAGGTGAGTTTTTTAAAAGACTAATTGAGGACTGTAGGACTGAAATTACCCTGCTATCCTCATTTAACTGAATAAAACATAGGAAAAAATTTCAGGAAAAAAGCAAGTTTATAAGCATTTATCATCAATCAACATCTCCTACATATAAATAAAAGGTGAAACTAGAAAGGTGGAATTTAGCCATAATTTTACCCCCTCTACTTTCATTCTGTAATTTACATGGAGTAATGAATTACTCCACTACTGCAGAAAGGGGTCAAGATACAAAGCCATTTAAAAATCCATCTTATCTATGCTACCAAAGAAACAGATGTTATTTTCAGTTGAGAAAACACTCTACAACTGCTGAACAGCCAAAGAACACTTAGGACTCACTTTTCAACTCTTGGTATCATACACAAAATTACTCGTTCATTAAGTTTTAACATTCCACTAGTTCCTGAAATCATTTTTTGTCTTTAGAGAGATCTCTATAACCAGAATGTTAACAGAGTCAGCTCCACTTTTCTTTTTTGCATATCTAACTCTTATATCTCAAAACCAGACACTGTGATAGATTTTTTTTAAATGCCCAGAAATTCTTTCAATTCTTTTTTTCACATAAAATGTCATTAAGTCTTAATCTCAAGATTTCCTGTTCTGTAACCAGATATCTGAGGGAATAGTTCCTACAGAGGCCACAATTCAAGCTGTGCCTACAAAATGATCATTTCACTGTCAAAAAAAAAAAAAGTGATTCAAAAAAAAAAATCAGTGAACATCAGTTCATAAGTTTTTTAATAAGCCTGGAAATGTCCAACTCTGAAAAAACATCTGACTTTCACTGTAGTACACTGAATATGAAATAAACGTAAGGTAGTTTATCTTCAAAATATGACAAAAGCTTTTACTAGCCAGATGAACACTGTATAATATAATCCTTAAAGCAAAACTATTTACTCTCAGATGATAGAATAAACGTATAGTTTTTCAACCAGAAATTTAAGTTTTTGTGTGAAAATTTTTTTACAGGAATCCCAGTTACAATCAACAAAGTATTTTCCCAAAATTAAGTAGAGCTATTTGCTAGGAGCTGAGTGATTGTTTAATTTTCCATAGATTTTGATGCTGCATCTTAGTGTCTTAAATATCTTATTTTTACCAGTAATAGTAAGTAACTAACTGAAAAATGAAATTTTCTTCCCATTCATTTTAACTAAGTTTCTGAAAAATCAAGAAAAAAGTAGAAAAAATTAGTTGCTGTTAAAGAATCCAATGTTGGGACCAGGAAATTCTACCTAATGAAAATGAAAACCAGTTTTAGACTTAGCTTCCAATCAAATCCTGAAGGGTAAGTAGATAATCTATAAATATGAAACTACACAACAGAATGGGCAACACAAATAAGAGATTCATCTGGAGATGGCACTCTATGTAAGCACCAAGCTAAACAGTGTTAGTTTTGTTTTTGTTTTTTTTATATAATACATACATTTAGAAATGGTATCAAGCCAACTGTTTCAAAAACATTGAAGCACAAATTGCCCAGATCTAACGAAAGCAGCAATGTCAGGTAAAGATTCAAACAAACATGGAGCAAACAGTATTACTGAACAAGCTGTCAGACCAATGTAAGTTGAAAAAAAAAAAGAAAAAAAAAAGAGGTGAGGGGGAGCACACATATTTTAATCTATAGTAAATTAGCACAAAATTATTTGCCCAACTATCTTATCAAAAGATATTCAAAAGTTAATGGTAGTGAAATTATTTAAACTGGAAAAAATGTTATCTGACTACAAATTACACTTTGTTCTGTATAGATGAAGATTTTATACTTGCATTAGTTTCAAACAGGTTTCTATTCTAGATGACATGCCACTGCATTTTGGAACCACAAGGCACCCAAAGTCTTAATTGTAGGATTGCAGGTTATTTTCCCTACAGGCATACCAAGGAAACTTACAGACATAAACAATACTTTACTTCTCTCAGAATGATAGTTTTTCCAGTTTAAAAAGACAACACAAAAACTTCCAGAACTTAAAAAATTTATAAATGTGCATAGGAAAATGAAAAAAAAAGATGACAGTAATGATGAGGCTTTCATGCTGCCATGCATTTGAGACACCTGTCAGAATGGAAAATAGGAATTACATGACATTTCCCTGGGTTATTATTGGTGCTATTTCAAAACTACCAGCTTTGATAACAGAAAGAAAACAGTTGGGTTCTGCCAGGCTTGGAATAAGTCACTTTCACAGAATAGAAATACCATCATGATCCAGAAAATCCTAAAGTTCCAAATCATAATTAAATTATTAAGCTGAATACTCAGCACTTAAGTCAACAGAGAAAATATACCTAGTAATGACCTGAGAAATTGAAGGTGGTGGAAGCGTTTTAAGTAAAAAAAGAAAAAAATTAAAAACAAAAACAAACCAAAAAAACACCTAATACTATATAGTAGCACAAGCCCTTGTTAAGAACCAGAAGTCGCATCATTCTCAACTTTGGGAAAAACAAAAGGACAAAAAAGTGTGATGATTTAAATTATATTAATTATACAAGCCCCAACAAATAATAAGGGTTTTCCTACACTGACATTTCAAATTTCTGTCGCTGGACAGCAGTACAAATATTAAATATGAAATTTGAAAGACATTCAAATAATGTAATGTCTCCACTACTGTCTGAATATGAAAATAAAAATACAAGCAGCAAAAAAAAAATGTAAAACATATCAAGGCATTTTAGGATTACTTTTTTTAAAATTCTGCAATCTAGATATGGCTGATTAATGCCCACCAAAATGAAAGATGACTTATGAGCCTGCAGACAAGTCCTCTTTCTATTATTGAAACCAGAAATTTGAATGGATACAAAAACAAAAACTAAAAAGAACATTGTTTTGAAATATGCACAATTAAATTAGAACTGTACCTGATACACCTCTAAAAGTCAGTAAAAACACCACCTCTCACACCTATAACTGACCAGAGAATTCTGATTTCAAAAGCACCTACTCACTTCTTGCATACTAATTAAATGGTTTGTAACACAGTCCTCAATTTTTACCAATTATAGCTACAAACCAAAGTGCATATAAGAAATACAAAACTCAGGAACTAAATGATCAAAATGCATATTAAAGCAAACTTTCTGGGAACAAACTGTGCATTTTAAGAGAAATACTCAAAAGACCTGATTAAAATAATTACACTGGGAAACAATTTGACAGTGTACACTTTTGTGATCCCTGATCAAACTTAAGTCACACAAGTAACATTTCTGGTACAGGAATTATTCAGCTACACACCATTCAAGCCATTTTTTGGTGTATATTACCATTTACTATTTACAATCAGTGGACTTTTTTCTCCAAACTCTGATTTTTCAAAATTTTGGATTTGTAACTTTGAGGAATTTTTTTAAAGCTCAAGATTAAAAAAGGAAAGGAAAAAAAAAAAAACTACAAGGATAGAAGCTCCTAATGAAAGCAAATCCATCTCCCTATTACACCTTCAAGGCATCCCTTTCACAAACTGTCCTGACTTCTACTTTAAAAGAGGCATGTAAAAATATATATAAAAAAGAGGGGGGAAAGAAAAAAAAAAGGCTACAACTAAACAACTAATTTTAAAAAATTTTTCATCTGATGCTGTATCCCATTACACATCACAAAACAGAAACCATGTCAAAGTAGTAAATACAAGTTACACATGGACTTTAGGACGCACCACGGACAATGATCATGACCAGGTAATCTTCTTCAGATTTGGCCAGTGCCTTGGCAGGGGAATCCAGGAACTGCTGGGAGAACTCACAAGGAGGGAAGGCATGAAGGACCCCGGTGTTTTCCTTGTCTTTGTTGCCTCCCACAGGAAGGCTGATCACCCCAGCTGCTTGCTTTTGCTTTAAATAGGACACAAGGTTCCTAAGTGGCCTCTGAGTAGAGGTGGCAGTGTCTGATGTGGCTGAGGAAGAGGAAGATCGGTTGTCAGAACTTCCAGGTACGGCCAGAAGAATGGCATAACCATTGGGCCCTGCCACTTTGATGCGACGACTTACTTCATCCAACTTTGGCTGGTCCAAACGGAGACGTTGAGTGATCTTGAGTTGGGCCACTTTGCCTCCAGTTGAACCCTCCACAAGAAGACTGCTAGCCACTTGGAGGTCACCCTGCAACAGATGCATATTTGAAGGAAAGTTGCTGTTCTTCAGTAGAAGCATGCCCTGCCAGGCCAAACAGAGTTTGGGAGAAGCTGCTGCCACAGGAGCTGTTCCTCCATCCTGTTTCTGGGATGGGGACTTCAGCTTTGATGAAGCACTGCTGGCGCTGGGTGCATTCCCTTCAGACCGATCTTCTTTTTTCAGAGGGCTTTTTCCCTCAGTGGGAGCAGCTGTCCGGTGCTTCCTATCCCGTTCAGCTGATGCAGAGTTTTTACGGTCTCGCTTGTCACCTTGGCCCTTCTCCAAACTACCTCGTCTGTCTCTGATTGGAGAGGGTCTTTCCAAGAGAAGAAGACGGGAGGATCTATCATTGTCGCTGTTGTAACGGTCCCGGCTACTGCTCAGTTCTGGACTGCGGTCAGGAGAAGGAGCACAGTGACGTTTCCGTGGCCGGTCACTCTCAGGGGACCTATCCAGATGTCGTCCCCCACTCTCCTCGGGTAGCCGTCGCTTCCTAGGCTGGTCTCGGCTGCTGGGCAGATCTCGATCACCTCTGTCCCGGTCCAAGGACCAGCCATCCCGCCTTCGATCCAAGCTATCCAGTGGGTCATAAGCAGTAACAGCAGCAGCTGCAGTCCGAGTACTGCGCTCTCGGACTGGTGGTAGAGGCGGCACCCAATCAGAATCAGAATAAAGGTCTCTATCACGATCTCTGTAGAGTAAGGGCGGTGTCCTATCCCGTGCACCCCTCAAAGGATCAGGAGCCCGATGCCCAAAAGCATCTGTCACCAGTTCATAATGAGTTAAGGGCAAAGGTTGCAGATATTGCTGCTGGTAACGATGTTCGGTGTCTGCAAAGTCTACTCTAAGGCGACGATCTGGGCCACCAAGTGGGAATCCTCGCATATGGGTCCAGGCAGCATGAGCTGCATCCAGGCTTTCATACTGGATATACGCCCAACTATCACCTTTTCGGTAATCTATGGTGCGTATGGTGCCAAATCGGTCAAATTCTCGTGCCAGTGCAGCAACAGGAACCCAAGGTCCCAGGCCACCGACCCAGAGGCGGGTAGTGGGTGTAGCTTTCCCATAACCAATTTTGATAGGATTCCGAATTATAATTTTGCCAGACATTGCTAGTTTGGCTCGGTGAGACATGTCTAGGTTCTCAAATTTGAGAAAGCCATAGGTACTGGTCTGGCCTCGAGAAGGCCTCTTGATGTCTACTTCTGTGATGACCCCAAAGCGATCAAAAGCCCTCCTAAGATCACTCTCTGTCACAGTGATGTCCAAATTGCCCAAGAAAAGCGTCCGGTTAGCACGCTGATCGTCCTCGGGGGAAATCTCATCCACTTCTCGGAAAGGAGCAGCACCTGCTCCAGCTCCCACCCGTGGCTCAAGGCTGTATGTGGGACGCACTCTCTCGTAGAACGCATAGTCTCGTTCTCTCTCCAGTTCCCGGGGCAGGGGTGGCGGAGGTGGAGGAGGTAGGCGGCCCAGAGCCAACTGCTGCAACCGGTAGTCTCTGTATCCCAAAGCGGCGCCACCGGGGGAGAGCGATCGCTGGCCTCCACCCCCCGGGGGGTGCCGATGGCCACCTACGGAGGCCCCGACCACGCTGGCCGACGGAGGGTACGAATCTTTGTCTAACGGGGAGCGGCTGCGACGCCGGCTCACGTACACGGCCTCTATCTTCAGGGGCCGGTCGTAGAGCACCAGGCGGCCTCGGGCGTGCTTGGCCGCCCGCGCGTCCTCGGACCGCCGGAAGTTCACAAAGGCCACCCGCTCGTCCCCGCTGCCAGAACCCGAGAGGTGACTGATTTTGACACTTACATCACCGAACCGTTTGAACTCGTGAAACAGTCCGTCCTCCACCGCCTCGTCACTCAGCTGGGACCCCAACTCGCTTATCTTCAAGGTCTTATACTCCGCGCCGTCCCCGCCGCCGGGCGCTGAGGAGGCGGCCCCAGAAGAACGTGACTCCCCGCCTCCACCCCGGGAGCTGCTGCGCGACTCGCCCCCGCCCGAGGAATTTTTGGTGCTTGGGGAGCTATAACTGTGCAAACGGCTGCTGGAGCTGCCCCCGCCGGTGTCGTACTCGCGGCTTCCGCCTCGACTGCTGCTGGACTTGTCGAGGTGGAGGCTCCGCCGCGACCCGCCGCCGCTGTCCGTCTTCCCGCTGCTGCTCCCATTGCTGCCGCCGGAGCCCCCTAACTTCTTGCTGCGCTCCCCGCGGGAAGTCGAGTCCTCACCACCGCGGGAACGCTTGGGCTTGACCGGAGAGCGCTCTTTTCCCTTCATGGTTGCGGGTGGCCGGAGGTAATCTCCGCGGAGCTGACTAACCCGCCGCCCCGCGCTCGTTTCACACAGCGGAACCGCACGCCGCCATCTTGGACTCCGCCGCGGCAAAGGATCCCGCCCCGCCGATCTCATTGGTCTATCCGCTCTCTTTTCTACAGTCTCATTGGGAAAACTGTTTGTCTGTCTTCACATCTCCCCGCGCTCCGGGAAGGCGCCCGCCCAGTCACTGTTATTGGGTTCCCAACGCCCCGGTCAGAGTACCTCATTGGTCATATTCGTTGTCTGTCTTAACGGTTCCTCGCGCCAGGCCGTAGCTCCGCCCCTTGCACTCTACAGTCACCTGACTCGAAGTCTGGAGGCGTTGATTGGACAAAAAGTCTGCCCTGTAACGGTACTTCTGGCGCGGTGTAAGCAGCGGTCCCACCTCCTCCGCCCTTTCACTGGCATGTGACTCCGTCCTTTAACCTATTATTTGGGAAGCTCGGCCAGCCGTTCCGTCGTGGTTGTTTTCTCCTGAGAACTTGGCTCATTTCAATGTCCCGAGAGACAAAGCACGCTCTCTCTCTTTCGACCCTTACCTTCCAACTTCTCCGGCGGCTGACGGAAGTTTAAATCTGATTGGACATGGGCGGCGAAATTGATAGGCCGAAAGAACTGTCCATCACTCACTTAAAGGGGTAGGTGCCGAGACTGCGGAGGCTGAAGGTGAAAGACTAGAACGCGCGCTAGCGGCGCGACGTCACCGGGGTGTCGCGAGATGGTGACGGCCCGCCTCCCCGCGCTCTCCGCGTTCTCTTAAACATTTGTTGGGTCTGGTTGGCGCACTTGGCGGTGCCTCTCGGTCCTCGGAGCCGGGAGCTTCCGAGCTTCCTCGCCGTTCTGCTTGCACCGGACCATGGGCCGAACTTTTGGCTACTGGAGTCGGAGGTCCCCCGAGGCACCCGTCCCGGACACCATCTTGGTTCCTCTGGGCGCTGCGTAACAGCCTGAAAAAGCTCCACCCCTGCGAGAGGAAGTGCGGCCCGGCCCGCGGTTTCTGAGGGCTGTCGGCCGGGGAGAGTTCAGGGTTCACCGCCCGGGGTCAACTGACGTCCGGGGCGGAGTTGAGAGAGAGCTCCCCGAGCTTAGGAAGAGGCGCCGCCTTAGCGAGGGCGCGCGACTCTCCGGGCGCCCCGGGTCCCCTAAGTGTCCCCAGGGTAACCGGAGCATGGCCGACTCTGGCCAGGCGCAAGAGCTGCGGGGCCCCCGGAGACGTGACTGTGCGGTTCGACATTGCAAGTCGGTGTGGATCTGGCATTCTGTAAAATAACAGGCAGTATATCATACGGGTGGGAGTTGGGAATATTTAATTCTGTACAATGAGCAGGTGGAATTTACTCTTCGGACGCGTGTCCCATTTCTGTGGTGACTAGTACCTCTGCTCTGGAATTCAATAGGACAGCCATCGGCTCCCTCCTGTGACTCCTTCCTTTCATCGTTATCCGTTTCAAAGCAATTTTTATTCTTCACCGAATCTTGTCAAACAAGTATTGTGCAAACTGCTGCTGGTGACACGATTGGACCCATGTGGCCCATGTGCTGACTATTCACCGGTGAAGGCAAATAGGCTTTCTGCAGGCCTTCCCCACATCACCACATCAAACAAGATCCAGTCTGTAGTAGAGGATGAGAGGTGTTTTTAAACGTGAATTTTTTTTCCCAAAGTAACAGTACTCCCCAACTGAAAACTAAATTGGAAAACTTTTAAGATTGAAACTAACAACTCCGTACCCCTGACTGAGCCAGCCTTTTTGTTTTATGTTAGTGCATAATTCTGGGGATGGTGAAAATGTTGTTGGCCTTTCCTCTCTTGGTTAAATCAAAGAAACCTGAAGCCCATTATGTAAAACACAAAAAAATTCAAATATTGTAATATGCACACATCCTCATTGTTTTAAATGTAGCTGCTAAAGCCTGGTGCCAGTGGCTTATGCATGTAATCCTAGGTACTCAGAAAGCTCAGATCTGAAGTGTCATAGTTGGAAGCTAGCCTCAACAGAAAAGTCTAAGCGACCCTATTTAAAAATAACCAGCAAAAAACCGGGCTAGAGGTGTGGCTCAAATTGTAGGACCTCAGCTGTGAGTGAGCACTTTTGAGGGGAAGAGTTCAAGCCCCAGCTTGGGGAAGAAAAAAGTACCTGCTAAAATAAATGATCATAATAATGTATATTGTGGCTTGTATGTGTGTGTGTATATATATATATATATGACATACACATAAAATACACAATATATATGCAAACTATATACTATATATATACACACACACACATATATATACATACACACATGTATTTCTTTATATTTTAATAGAAATTTCCCTGATGAATATCTGGGAAATTGTTCGGATTGATTTCAGGAGAGAAGCTGGGATCTGAGATGGAAGAAAGACTTTTTTGTGAGCTTCCTAGGACTTGAACTCAGGGCCCGCCGTGGTGCTGTCCCTGATCTATTTAGCTCCAGTAGCAGTCTACCACTTGATCCACAGGTCCACTTCCAGCTTTTTGGTGGTTAATTGGAGGTAAATATTGCACAGATTTTCCAACCCAAGTTGGCCTCATACGTTGATCCTTAGATTTTAGCCTCCTGAGTAGTTAGGAATATAGGCTTCAGCCATTGGTGTTTGACTATTTTTTTTGTATACATTATTATATAAAAGCTTTTACTGTAGCCATGCTATTAATCTTTTTAGAAAATAGCAATTGTTTTTAGCTTAGTGTACTATTTTTTTAGAAAAAGTTAAAAAATACAAAAGCAGAATAAGATAAAGTTCCTAAAACCTAGTTTCAACAGTTATAAGATCATGTCACTATTTTTTGTTTACCTTCTTCCCACTCCCCTGCTCCATTAGTTTGTTCCTAGCTTACCTCCTAATTCATGTCTTGCTTTAGGCATGGAACCTGCCATTTTTCCAGAGTTCTGGTTCCTTTTAGGAATGAATAATATTGAAAAATAAAGATCTAAATGCTAAGAAATCTAGAGTACTCTTGGACACATGTGTACACACACAATTACACAATTTGTAATTACACAATTTGTAAAGACAATGTAGGAAAAGATTTACAAAGGTGTAAAGGTTATGTAAATACTACACAAAGGGAACAAGTTGAGCCTTTATCTGATTATTCCTTATAACAACCAATCCAGGTGAACTTGGGTGCAGAGTTATTTTCCCCCTAAACTGACCTGTGAAGGTGACTCACTGATTGTAAGAAGAGATAAGGACCAAGTCTGTATAGTTTTCCAAACCTTTTGATAGAGATCTGAGGAAGAGAATTAAAGAGCTAAACTGGCACTGGTATGTGTGGCACCCCTTGAGGCACACCAACTTTGTAAACCTAACTGAAGCTACTGCTTATAGTTGGCAGCAGTAAAAAGGCTTGCCTGAGGGGACTAGTAGCTTGCTTGGAGCCAACAGGACTGATAAGTTTAATGACAAAAATTCATTGCCAGTAACACCATCAAAATATATTCTGTAACTACTTGTAGAAAACTAAAGCTAGATCCTTATATATCACCCTGCACCAGAATCAACTCCAAATGGATCAAAGACATCAGAGTCAAAGCAGACACTCAGAAAACATTACAGGATGGAATAGGAGAAACCCTAGGTTTTGTTGGTACAGACCAAAATTTTCTTAATAGAGACCCAGAAACACAACAAATCAAAGAAAGGTTGGACAAATGGGATTGCATGAAATTGCAGAGCTTCTGCATGGCAAAGGACCTAGCTAGCAATATCAATAGAAAGCCCACAGATTGGGAGAAGATCTTCACTAGCCATACAATGGACAAGCGTCTCATATCTAAAATATACTTAGAACTCAAAAAGAGAAACTTCTCTGAAGAGGAAAGAAGGAAGGCCAATAGACACATGAAGAAATGCTCAACCTCCCTAGCCATAAAAGAACTGCAAATCAAAACAACATTGAGATACCACCTCACTCCAGTTAGAAGGCTAAAATCAAGAACTCTAATTAAACAACAGATGCTGGGGGGGATATGGACAGAAGGGAACCTTACTGCATTGTTGGTGGGAGTGTAAACTTGTTCAACCCCTTTGGAAAGCAGTATGGAGGTTCTTCAAAAGATTCTACATAGAGCTCCCCTATGACCCAGCAATCCCACTTTTGGGCATTTACCCAAATGCTTACAAACAAGATCACACTAGAGCTACCAGCACAACTATGTTTATTGCAGCATTATTTACCATAGCTAAGATATGGAACCAACCCAGATGCTCCTCAGTAGATGAATGGAGCAAGAAAAATGTGGTATATATACACAATGGAATTCTATGCCTCCATCAGAAAGAATGACATTGCCCCATTTGTTGAGCAAGAAAAATGTGGTATATATACACAATGGAATTCTATGCCTCCATCAGAAAGAATGACATTGCCCCATTTGTTGGGAAATGGAAAGGCTTGGAAAAAATTATATGAAGTGAAGTAAGCCAGGCCCAAAGAAACATAGGTCCCATGGTTTCCCTTATTTGCAGTATCTAGTATATTTCTGAGTCAAGCAGAAAAGGTCAGATAAGGTGTTAGGGAAATGAACCCTAAGATATGTATTCAAATATTTTTTTTCTTTCATGTGATTGTTTCTAACACATTTATAAGATTATTTCTTTGTTGCTTTGTATGTCCCTCCCCCACAGTATAACCCCTGCTTTCACTGTATTTGATGTTGGTATAATTTGTGGAGGGGAAGGGGAAAAACAAATGGTTTAAATAGGGATACAGGTGGACCCATTGCAACAATGAGATGTACCAGTCGTTATGTCGAAAATGAACTTTACAACTTTGGTGCGGGGAGAGGGGGGGAAGATGTGGGGGGAGGATTGTGTGGGGGGCAGGGGAGGGAAGATGGGAAGGGATGGGAAGGAGAAACAAAGGAGTAGGCTACAATGCTTGATAAGAAATGTACTCATTATCTTGCCCATGTAATTATAACCCCTCTGTACAGTATTTTCACAATAAAAAATATATATATATATATATATTCTGATAAATGTGTTTGTCCAGGACAAAAAAGAATAATGAAATACAGATAATCCATGTTCCTTAAAATTAAAATTATATTCTTTTAGTTTTGTTTGTACTTTAAACAAATGTTTACTAAAGTATTTCTGTAGTGAAAATGGGTGTTTTTGTTTTTCAGTTGTTGTTTAAAACATGAAGTTGCTTTTAAAGAGATCTGAGAAAGGGCAAAGGTGACCATTGTTTGGAAGGACAGTCCTTTCAACCCTTCTTTGGGTGTTAGTATGGAGGTGTTAAGGTATACTGCAAGTTTTCATCTTGTCTTCTTGTAGTCAGGGCTAGAGTTGTGAAGATAGTTAATCTGACTGAGATTTTTCAGGGGATATAAAAGCAAAGTTAAACCATGCACTGGTGGCTCACACCTGTAATCCCATCTACTTAGGAGTCTTGAGAGCTGGGTTCACAGTTCTAAGCCAGCCCATGCCAGGGAAGTCTGAGACTCTGATGGTCAATAAACTTTCAAACAGTTGAAAGTAGAGTTGTGGCTCAAGTGGTAAAGCACTAGCCTTGAGCAAAAAAAGCTGGGAGGAACAACACCCAGGCCCTGATTTTAAGCACCAAGACCTCACAAATGCACACAGAATTAAGCTATGAACAGACCCAGCATCAATAGCAATATACTGATCTATCTTTGTGTGTGTATGTGTGCTAGTCCTGGGCTTTAACTCGGCTTGGACTCTGACCTTGCACTCTTGAGCCACAGCTCTACTCCTGGATTTTTTTTATTATTATTATTAATTTACTGTCCTTATAGAGGTGATATACAGAGAGATTACAATTACATGAATCAGGTAATGAGTATATTTCCTTTTGTTCAGTGTTTTCTGTTCCCTCATTCTCTCCCAGTCCCTCCTGTCTCCACCAATGAGTTGTATAGTTCACTTCTATCAATACCCAATGAGCACAACTGCTGCACTTTTTCACTCTTTTCCCCTCAATCCTCCCCCCAACCCTTCCAAAGATGTATATTTAATACACCACACAGCAGGTAAAGAAGACAGAATCACCAAAAAACTTTAAAAAAAAAAGCAGTCTCTTGTTTCTGTATCTTAGACTTTGTTTTAGTATATATATTATATCTTAGACTTTGTTTTAGTATGTATATTATCTTATATAAATATGAAGAGGCATTTAGGCATTACACCTTTGTGTTTCTCTCTGAAAGTATCCTCTTTTGGTCTCACTGTATGTGAGTATCTAGAATCATAATAATTTATCATATCCCCATGCATTTTAAATCTAATTACATATCAGAGAGATCATGCACTGTTCTCTGCAAGTGACATTATTTTATTCTTTCTAATGGCTATGTAACATTCCATTGTGTATAGGTACCATATATTTTTTAATCCATTCATCTATGGTGGGGTATCTGAGCTGTTTCCATATCTTCCCTATTTTAAATAGAGTGGCATTGAACATGTATATGCAGATGTCCTTACCATATCCTGGCAATGTTCAGGGTAGATGCCAAGGAGTGGTGTAGCTGGATCATTGGGAAGGTCTATGTTTAGTTTTTTGAGAACTCTTCAGACTACTATAAAGTGGTTGTACTAGTTTACATCCCCACCAACAATGCAGTATACTCCTAGCTTTTTGGTGGTTAATTGGAGATAAGAGTTTCAGACTTCCTTGCCTGGGCTGGTTTCAAACCCTGGTCCTCAGATCTCATACTCCTGAGTAGCTGGGACTACAGCCATGAGCTACTGGCACCCAGTTATCCCTCCTTTTAACTGCCTAAAAACAAGAAATAGCATTAGGGAAAAATTGCCATAGCTCATTTAGACAACAGTATTGGTCCTCTGAAGTTGTACAATTCAAAGACCTTAAAGGACATGGCACAGTAGCAACTTGCTTTTTCTATAAAGTA